CTCAATAATTGTGGGAAATTTCAATAAAAGTAAAATTAAAAGATTTTGGATTATGTACTATATAAAGGCGCAATATATTCTAGCCCTCTAGTGTGAAAATAGATGTATGTAATCCAATAAATCACAAATTAACGGCTAGATTTGGCACCAAAACCTCGAGTTTAAAAAGAAAGTATTCACCACTCTTTCTACAGTTCCTTTCTGTAACGAATATTCACATTTTCAAAGCTGTATTAATCAATATTCCCTGTTGACAGCTGCTAATTATGCTAAATGTAACAATATAATCAGCAATCTTAGCCACTCTTCATTTTTTTCCTGGTAGGTGCACAGCACCAAACAGCAGACTAACCAAGAAACATGTGAATATAAATTAGGATTTAAAGTGCCCGTGGATGCTGGATGTCTAAATAGAAAGATGTTCAACATAACAATTTGATCTTCCATTGTTCGGTGGGACAGATGTGAGTGACAGTCTCTGTTTAACATGTGTGGCTGACGAGTAGAAAGTAAAGTTGAGAGTATTCTCTCCTGCTGTGTTGGTGTTGATTAAAGAAGATGATTTGAAGAGAAACTGTAGCCCACTTAACACCCACAGCTCAGAGACTCTGAATAACACTACAAACAAAGGAATCAGGGTTATGTCAATAGATAAACTTAAAAGTAAAGTAGCCACACATGTTTATATTATTCAGTACTGATCAGAGTCAAGAAGACATGTTAAATTATGAGGCACTATTTAATTTCTTTGCTTTTATTTTTAAAGGTGTGTATTCTGTATGTGTGTGTGTATAGTACTGTACTGTAAGTGGTGATTCGCTTTCAGATTATTGGTAATTTGTGGATCGTTAAGCTGAAATAACTGCTGAAGAAATGAATTACTGTTGAAGTAAAGCAGTGACATAAGCGCTCGTTCTCCGGTGTCTCATTTTCAGTCAGCCTGTGTCTCTCCAGTAACATTTGTTTGGAGTTGAAGTTGTCACGTTGGGTTTTTACAGGGAGGGTTGGTGGCGGCGTGATTTCCCAACAGCTTGACTCGTGGTTCTGACTCATTAGCTTCCTGCACTGCCACAATGAGCCTCATCAATCGTAACCCCCAGCGCAAAAGAGCTGCTTTCTCTCTACCTGGCCTTTATGGTTCTCTTTGCTCAGTAACACAACCAGGAAGCTGTGCGGCTTTTCTAGGACGTAAATGCATAAAGGGATATAAATAACTCAGAAAGGAGTTTTTAATATAAATACAGAGATAGAGTGATGTACAGTGCTCAACAAATGAATCAGACCATGTCCCAGTGTTAGGGTTTTGTCACAGATGTGATAAATTAACAGTGTTGATAATAATCAAAATCATTGTTAAGAAAAAAGCTGAAAAAGAAAATCACATTATTTATTCATTTTTTATTAAGATATCAAATTACATTTCATGCCACCAGAATAGATGCCAATCTTTGAAATCTGAAATCTAAAAATGGAAACAGTGGCATGAAAGCTTATGTCGTTTTTATGATTATATAAAAAGACATAAAAAGCTCCACTGAAAGCTAAAATACCAACATTAAAAAAAGCGTTTAACAACCTTAAATAAAGAGATTTGTTTACACTGACTGACCTTTTTTGTTTACGGGGGGGGGGGTTCTTCAGTTTCTTTTCGATGCCACTGCTTTTCAATTTAAAAAGGTCTTTTTTACACTTACGCATTTTTCCACTAGAAGCTTCAGATGAAAGGACAGCGGGACTTCCTGTCATTGCCCCAGGCCTTTTCCATTAGAATAATTTTACTGCACCGATGAAAACACTAGGCTACCCCCAGCTTCTGGCTCATAGGGGGAGTGCATCGCAAGGACGTCAGCTAGCTAATGCAACCTAGCTAACATTTCCTCTCTAGCTAGTTAAGAGTGAAGCAAGTGACAAGAGGAAAGGACAAAAAATCTTTACATGCTGTTTAGGAGTTTACGACGCTGTTTAGTTGGATCTGAACTTGAAACATTGTTGTTGAGTTGCTGAGTTAAGATGGCCGCTAGTAGGTAGTACCGGTGACGCCCCGCCTCTCGGTCTCAACTATTAGCCCTTCCCACTGAAACTGGAAAGCTGCTACATCAAAAAGAAACTGTAAAAATGTCTATCAATCATGCGGTTTTCACCAAAGGGGAAATTAGTTATAGAGACAAGTGTCTTAGTAACAGGCTGCAAACATGGATATTTCTGCTGTTAATTGGTTCCTTTTAACCAAGGAGTCTGTGGGGATTACCTCGCTTGTGGCTCTGGCCTCAAGTAGCCATTTGTGAAACTGCAGTTTTCAGCTCATGTGGTCAGGCTTCATTTTTCAATGGCTGATGCTCCCACTTGATTTCCACACATGAAGTCAGCTGAAATCCAACCAGAGATGAGAGCGAGCTGAGGAGGTGAGGAAGAGACACACAAAAATTAGACATCCTTGCCTCGCAGCGTTCATTTTAAAGCAAAGTCAATTAAATATGACGTTTGGCACAGCTGCATCATCTGTCAGTTGTTTTGTTACAGCCGACTGCTGTATGTTATGATTTCAGATGCCAGAAGAGCATAACAGTCCTCATGACAACTTTTATTTTTAGAAGTACTTTAATTAAATTCACAATGAAACTCAGTATCTCTCTCGCTCTCTCTCTCTCTCACACACACACACACACACACACACACACACACAACTATATATAGCAAAAAGCAGAATCATTTTAAATAACTGAAATAAATTACGAATACACAGAAACATTGTGTACAATGCCTCTTTTATCTATGACGTATAAAAGCACTTCCACAGAGAATACAACTCAAATACAGCTCCTCTATTCTCAATCCACTGTCCTCCAGATCCATTTTATGAATTGAAACATCCTTCAGCATGGTGCAGAGAAATTGCTGTCTGGAGCACAGACATGAGGATGGGGGGACAGAGGAGCCAAGGAGGTACAAGGCAGAGAAATGACAAAATACTCGATACACACCAGAGAGTGAAGGCCAATAAGGGACAGGTAGACTCAGACGCTAGGGAGGGTGGGAAAAGAACAAAACAGGAGAGTAAACGCCATGTGAGGAGCCTTCAAAATAAAACAGGAAGTGAAATTGAGACAGGAAAGAGGAGAAAGGAAAGCAAATCAAGGAGAAGAAACGAGGTAATAACTGTCTAACCGATCATGTTCTCTGTAATGCAGAGAACATGATATGAGTAATAATGGTCATATAAGTTCTTATGGAGTGAAAGTGATTTTTTTTGTGGTGCTTTACATGTTGATACCATGTAACAGTGACGTGCTAAGTAAGTAAATGTCATTTTCCACTGTAAGAAAAGAGCACAGAATTACTGTATGATCTCACCACTCTGGCAGATTAAGTGAAACACAGTGAAGACAGCAGTCTTTCACATGTGCTGAGCTTGAGTTAACAAGCCCTGCCGCAGCAGCTGTAGGTGTGTGTGTGCATGTGTGTGTGTGTGTGTGTGTGTGTGTGTGTGTGTGTGTGTGTGTGTGTGTGTGTGTGTGTGTGTGTGTGTGTGTGCGCTTCTCTGGCTGTTCTCTGTCTAGCAGCCAGCAGCGTCCTGGAGTAATGTAATGACCCTCTGTTGGCATGCCCTCAACCCGCTTTCAACACACACACACACTGACCAACTCAGAGCCTCAGTCGCTCTTCCTCTACCCTCTTCTTCTCACACACACACAGAGTCACGCACAGTCACGCACAGTCACACACACACACACACACACACATGCGCTCACACTGTTAAAAAACTGGGTTATCGTCGCAGTTTTTTTGCTGCTGCAGGGCATATAGCTTACAAAGCAGAAGAAACAGTTTCAAGGAATCACAGGGCAAACAGTTTCCGAGGCAAACACACGTGCACAAAACACACAACCCACAGGAGAGTCCAATAACCAAAACTAAATTAGAGACCTCTTGCAATTTTCTTAGGGTGTGTGTATGTGTGTGTGTGTGTGTGTACGTTAAGGGCACAAATGTTAACACAATGATGCACCAGGCACAGTAATTTAAACACTGGCCATACTCACAGGAAAAGGTCATCATTGCATAATAAGGCAAACGTTACTTTTCCTACAACTCTACATCTGATATTTCGAGGCATTTGCTGAATGAATATTGTTACAACCTCTTTTTTTACCCTATGTCCAAAGTGCTTCCATTAAAAGAGCAAACTGCAATAAATTGTCTAAAAAGAAAGAAGGAAAAAACACACACACACGCTGGACGAAAGCCGGGCCCCACAAAGAACACACGTATTACTCATCCCCCACAGAGCCGCCTTGCTTTAGTGTATTGTGGGAGGGCTGGGGTGGGCGGCTGTGCAGGGGATTGGGAGCTGCGGTATAAGACTGCATGACTTCAGCCTGCATGTAATATATCTACATGATGTTTTTTCAGCTTTGCTTTGCACTAAGTGGCTTCTGTTTCAGCTAAAATTAAAAAAAGTAAAATGTGCATGTGTGCGTGTGTGTGTGTTCACTTCAAAACTAATCAGGAAAGCCAGTGTGGTGGAACCCAGACATCTTGTTTATCCTGAGATTTACCCGCACTTCACCTTCAGCTCCACACACACACACACACACACACACACACACACACACACACACACACACACACACACACACACACACAGTTTACACACCACACACACACAAGTGAAGGTCTTGTGCTTGTCCCAGGTGCAGAGAAATCTGTGAAGCAGCATGTGGCTTGTCCCAGTTCCTCTACAGTACCTGTGTGCCTTTGTGTGTGTGTGTGTGATTGCGTATTGCGACAAGACTGACCCATTTGAATCTTAATACAGGCGCTCACCATTGCATTCCTGAAACTAGTTCAACATGTAGGCTATAGGCTGCGTGCGACGCTGTCACAGAGCAGCGATGCTGAGGTCAGAGTGAGAAGATCTTCATTTGTTGGAGATTTGGTGACTAAAAAAAGTACACTTTTTTTCTTAGAGCTGGAAACTGAATGCAAAAAGATGTTGATGGGTGGAGGCGGAGGGGCTGAGATGGGCTTTGAGGAGATGGAGAAAGCCTCTGCTTCCTGCTTCTCCAGTTTTGACAGCAGGGTGAAGTCAGAGATGTGACTCTTGTGAGCTTAAGCTATTTCAAAGCAGCGCACGTCTAATCTGTGTCCTGACCAAAGGAGGTGCGCGTGTGTGTCTGAGAGAGAGAGAGAGAGAGAGAAAGCGGGAGAGGAGGGAGAGAAAGAAGTGAGACACTGAAGCAAACAGAGTGAAGAAGAGAGGGAGAGAGGGGAAGGACTGTTTGTGTGCCTGGGTGCTGAGCAGCAGCAGAGCAGCTTAGATGCGGACCAGAGGTGACCAGGGCTCGGGGTGAAGGTGTGTGCGCGTATGTGTGTGTGTGTGTTTGTGTGTGTGCGCGCGTGCATGTGTGAGTTTGTGTTGCGCGCCTGGCAGAGAGACTGCAGGATCGGGAGGAAAAGGGCTCTCAACTTCCCTCTTCCTCTCTGCGCCGCTCTGCCCTGTGTCGCTCCCTGCCTACTGCTCCTCTTTCCCTTTTTTTACTCCGGGACACAGGCAGCTGCTGCCGCTGGTAGTGGTGCTGCTGCTGCTGGTGCTGGTGGTGGTGAGATGTGAAGAGGCTTGAAGTATGGCATGTAAGGATGGTTTCTGCCAAGAAGAAGGAGATGGTGACAGCGATGCGCCCCGCGTTTACTCGGACCCTCTTCTACTTTTTCTGTTTGCTGACTTGGTGAGTCTCTGTCCGCGGTGCTGAAACCTGCCGCCGAGCTGTGTTTTTAGCCCTCAACTTACAAGTATCCCGATTTTCTTCTTCTTCTTCATAGTATGAAGAAAATCTCTGCGCAGACAAAAAAGGATGAAAGGATCTATCCGGAGAATTTCACTCGCATTTTGGACCGACTTCTGGACGGCTATGACAACAGGCTGCGACCTGGATTCGGAGGTATTTTAGAAAAATGCGCACTATTTTTGCGCACTATTGAGAGTGTTCTGCAATAAAAGTAGTCATATCAGCTATGTAACCATTCGGAAATATCCAGAATCTTCAAACCACCAGGTGAAATTTTATTTCTTCTGTAATTTATGCTACTTTTTAAAAATTTATTTTTAAAAGCCATACCTCGTAGCTCTAACCACATTATCGAGTAATAAAAGCATCCGGTGACATCTTTAAACCACTAAAAAGGGAGCTTCGCTTGTTATTGGACTTTTTAATGTAAGAGAACGTAAAATGTACTCTAAAGATAGCTGCAAACTCACTGCTGAGCAACAAAACACCCCATTAGTGTGGTTTAAATCAAGTCAGTTCCACCCATAGTAATCATACTACACCCCTGAAGCGCTCTAAATGAGCAGAGGGAACAATCCACTTGCTGAGGGAGGCTAAAGATTTCAATTTTGGTGTATTCTATTTATATAGCTCAAAGCTGCAGTCATCTCAAGGCACTTGATACTGTAAAGTAAAGCTCCTGCAGGGGTGGAGAGAGAATGTCATTGATCTGTGAACAAGCACTTGGTGATGGTGGGGAGGAAGAACACGTTTCTAAGAAAAAAACATAAAATGACCATCAAATATGCCATAATTAAATAAATGTGCACTTTTATTTGCACAGCCTAACAGTCTACAGCCTGAACCATGAAATAATTGCCAGAAAATTCCAAGTCTTTGAAACTGGTTTTTATTGAAGCTGAGAAATTTTATGTTAAATGGACGGCTACTTGAGCACTCAGAGCACTTTACACAACATGCCTTATTAATCCATTCATACCCATGCCAGCACCTTTCTTTTTCTATGGCAAAGTGTTTTCTTTTTAACATCCATACACATTCACACTCTAATGAGGTCATCTAATAATAGGAAGGTTGGTGGTTTGATCCCTGGCTGCTCCGGTCTTCATGGGAAAGATGCTAACCCCAAGTTGCTCTTTGATGGATCCAATAGAGTCTGTCTATGAATGTTAGACAAAAAGCACTTAACCAAAGAAAAAACAGTGCTCGCATGTGCTTGGGTATGAATGGGTGAGGCAAGTTGTATAAAGTGCTCTAAGTGCTCAGGTAGAGTAGAAAAGTGCTATACAAGAACTAGTCCAGTAACCATTTACCAGTTAACACTCAGAGAGCAACTTGAGGTTCAGTTTCTTGCCCATGAAGAAACTGCCCAAGACTGAAGAAGCCAGGGGTTGACCCACCAACCTTAGTAGACAGCTCAGCCCAGTAATTTGCATCAGATTTGTATCAGACTGGCATTTCTATGCAGCTGTTTTAGGTTTTTTGGGGGAAAAAAATGACAGGTCTCTAAAACTCATCTGTCAAATACGATGCACTTGGCATTGCAGGGTTAAGACTGTAAAATGAGCATGAACGCTTTACTGAAACTCTTTAACAGCATGGGGGAAGTAGAAAGCCGACGACATGCATGACATGTTTTCATGGGAACATTATGGCAACATTTTAATGACCTTTTTCTCTACAATGTTTTATGTGATTTGCATACGCAACATACTGCTTTGTGGTTCAGTGTATCACAACACGAGCACTGCTGAGTTGTGCACAAGCCTGGTAGTTGTGCCCACTGAAGATGGGCCTCTGAGCTGGCACGTTTGAGTGAGTGTGGTTAAATAATTGTGTGTATGTCAGCGCACAAACATCCTAATGCACAGTTCAAGTTCTAAAAGTACAGTTCTGGGTTTCTACGGCCATATTTCTCAAAGAGATGCCTCACTGCTGGTTGTAAAGCAGCCTGTCAGCAGAGATGTTCAGACATGCAGGCGTACCAGCTTCGCTTTAAAGTGAACAGAAAGGAAACAGCAACAAAGGCGCTACAGCTCTGGAAGAGATAAGTTACTGCAAGGCTTTTAGATTGGCTAAACAAGTATGAATAGGACTCCTGTCTTTTTATGACCGCGACACTGAAGGATTTACACCAGTAAACGGTCATTAAATGTGACACTTGTCTGTTTCATTATCTCAACAGGTCCTGTGACTGAGGTCAAGACTGACATTTATGTGACAAGTTTTGGGCCTGTCTCAGACGTTGAAATGGTACCTATCCTATCTCATGTTTGTTTATGACTTTCTTTTTGTTTATTCTAAATTGAGTGTCAAACTACAGAAGACACAGAGATCAATACTTGAGGATAATGACTATCTTGCTCAACCAAGAGCCACTCAACCAAGCCTGCTTTATGTTTGGATGAAAAACCGAAGCAATTGCTTCCAGCTGGTCTTATTTTTGGTCCTTTTTTCCCATCTTAGGAATACACAATGGACGTATTTTTTCGCCAGATGTGGGTAGACCGGAGGTTGATGTACGAGGGCCCAATAGAGATTCTCAGGTTGAACAACCTGATGGTAACAAAGGTGTGGACACCGGACACCTTCTTCAGGAACGGCAAGAGGTCCGTCGCTCACAACATGACGGCGCCCAACAGGCTGTTCCGCATCATGAAGAACGGCACCATCCTCTACACCATGAGGTACTTATATTAACTCCAATAATATGCCAATCTACAGATTGCAGCCAGCTCTAATTTTGCATCCATCTAAAAAGCCTGCTTGTGTTAGTTACACTTCATGTATTTGTTTTCTCTTTTTAGTGTTTTTTGCTCATTAAAATGGGATAGGAGGGATGACAGACTTTGTTTGTTATAAAGCAATGAAAGAGATTTCCTGTGAAATCAAAAACCCGCTCTCGCTGTGTACACAGTAGAGAGCTGTGTGGAGGCAGTGCTCAAACTTTCACATTCATTCAGGAGAGCAGTTGATTGTTTGATAGTAATTGGCCTTTTTTATATAAAGATCAGCAGACTCAATGATTGCATAGCAACAATTGAAAAACCACCTTTGTTTGTTTTAAAATACCTGAACAAATAGAACCATGTAGGCAGTAGTTTTTGGTGTACCTTTTAAAAGAAAGCCCTTATTGCCTTGTTATTGGTTCTAAGTCAAACGCTTCTCCTCTGTTCTGCAACAGGCTGACGATTAGCGCCGAGTGTCCCATGAAGCTCGTGGACTTCCCCATGGATGCACATGCATGCCCCCTCAAGTTTGGCAGCTGTAAGTTCTTTGTGTGTGAGTTGGTGACATCAGCATCAGAAAACTTTATTGACACACAGTTTGCACAGTTGCTTTGTTACAACTGCAACATATATAGTTTATAAAAGGGGGAAATTAAGTGGAAGTAATAGTAACAATATGACATATAAAAAAAGCATTTTTCAAACATAAACTTATTGAAAACATGCAAAAATATGCAAACAGATGAACAACACTTACAACACCAGGAGTTTAGTGTAGAGTACTAATGTAGATAGATTAGATGAAACTTTAATAATCCCTCGGGTGGGTTCCTCCGGGAAATTCGGTATATGTACAAAGTCAGTATTTTATCCATCCATCCAATAGGATTTATTATTAATATTAATGGTATTATTTAAATATAAACTAAATGGACAGAAGCTGAGATGAGGAGAAAGACATGATGATTTATTTTCTTTTTATATAGCTACATCATGACAGGAAATAAATGGTACCATTTTAGTGAGCCTCCTTTCAATGTTCTGGCTGTGCTACAAGAGAGAAAACAGGAAGAGGCTGCTGATTAGGTCTGACAGGACAAAGTGATCCAAACATGCATGTAAGATTACTGTTAACCTCTAATATTCCTGCAGTGCCTTTGAATGAGGAAAAGGACTCAAAGTTTAAAAAAAAATCTATCATTTTATCAGAATGTGAATTCTGTTCGTCCTCAATGTTTTGTCAAATGATTTTATTAATAAGTCATTATCACAGTGAAAATTTGTACCTGAGTAATAACATAACATAACAGCATTGTAGCATTGTAAGTCTGTTACTTTGGGAAGACGTGAGTAATGGAAGTATAATTTTTAAAATTAAATACAACAATTAGTGATATGTAAACACAATCAATATCCAGTCCTTGTGTATTCTCACTCTGTTGCATGTTTGACAGTCTAACATAAAAATAAACAAAATGCTGCCTGAGCAACTCGACACAGAGTAACTCAGTGTGACAGAGAGTGTAGAAAATTTTAGTTAAGATTTTTAATCTAAAGCTGAAATCCTGGAATTTCACCAGCACTCCCACTTTGGACTTTGCAATACCAAAGAACAGCTGCACACTATGGCAGATGTACACAAAGAAAAAGCACTCTGAAATGATCATTTTTAAATGGAAAGTGAACCATCAAAATACTTCCAGTTAATTAAAAAATAATCAGTTTCATCACCTCAAAAATGAAGAAAATGTCACAGCAATGTAAAATACTGGAGTAAGTCAATTCAGTTAAATTACTTTTTGAGCTAAACATACAAGAGTACAGTAGAAGTGTAAGCAAATAAGCCACTTCTGGTTCTTTACTTCTTGTAACTCAGATAAACGTGCACATTAAAACAGGTGGCAGTGTAATGAGCGTGTAATACGCAAAGATCTGATGTGAGTTACCTGGATGATTATTTTGTAAATCAGTTGTATTCCACTCTAACACAATTGAAGTGACTTTATTGAAAGGACAAAAAAAGCTGGATTCTAAGATGAATAGTGTGATTCTATTTCAGGACGCCATGCTTCCTCGGCCGGACAGCTGCTGTGTAGCAGTCGGTTAGGATAGCACGACCACTTTATAAACAACCAAATAAGAGCGTTTAGACTGAATCTGAATCTAAACTAAGCAGAGTGGGTAAAAAAAGAGAAAACACCAGTGGAAGGCTAAGACAAAGAAAATATTTTCCTAGCTCAGTTCATGAAGCCACTTTCCTCCTCTTGGTACTGAAATGGATGCTGTGCTGAAAAGGAGCGCTAAAGAGCTGAGCAGAAAGCGACTAAATGCTATAGTTAATAATGAAACGTTTCATTCTTCATCGTGAACAATAAACGCCCAACTCAGCACCAGTGTTCACAGTGGGCCCACTGGTCAGCAGAAATGACTTATTTCAAATAAAGGAGCTTCTCAAAAAACGAGCAGCTGCGTCTTATCAGAGAGCAGCAGCGATTTGAAGATTACATCTGCAAGAGAAAGGAGAGGAAAAAAGACAACGAGTTTGCCTCTACACCCGCTGTCAATTACCCAATCTGGTGACATTGCGGAGGACAAATTCACATTCCTCGGTTATTGTCATCCCCCCTCCTCCCGTCCTTTCACCATCCTGTGCTTCTGCTGCTAGCCTCCAGTCAGGAGGAAGCAACCATGGATCTGATGTGGCCTGAAGCGAGGGAAAGGTCAGAATCCCTTCCTCTGCCTCAGGATAGCGCAGACCTATGCAGCTATTTTCCATAGCCGGTGCATGTGTGCGCGTCGATGTGTGCCTGCGTGCTAATTTTCTCGCTGTCTGCCCTGCCTTCATTTTTCCTCCATCTCTCCCCCTCTCTCTCCTCTCACCGTCTCCTTTTTCTGTTTCTCCATCTGGACTTGTGTGCACAGGCACTGCGTTCCACTCCATGACACACCAGAGTCATTTCATTTTGGCAGCACAGTTGGTATCCTGCCGATATGGAGTCCCATAGGGAGTGGCAGGCCAAGACAACTGGCATTTTGTTTTGCATTCGCACTCTGGTCAACCTCGCCAGTGAGAATACAGAATACAGAAAAAAAAATCCGCACAAAAAACAAAATAAAACAGAGGGGAAGCAACAACGGGGAATAAACAAACTTGTAATATAATGTGTGACAGTTACAACTTTAATTAGACACAAAGTGGCAGCTTGAGTCTTTACTAATTGGACAGTTTTACTGTTATCATATATTTTTACTTTCATTTGTTCTGATGTCATGGTGTGGTCCACAATTACCAAAATAGATTGTAAAACCTGCACTGGAATCGTTTTCTTTATGCAGATTAGTGAATTATTCATGCTAGAGTGGAGGTGAGATGATGAGTCAATCTGGTAGAACCAATAAAAAATTATTAGTGAAAAGTTTTTGGTGGAGACTTCTTGTCTGTTTTTGTTGTGATTCACTTAGAGGGGACTGTCTACATTTTTACACCAATAAAACCTGTTTGAAACAAAAAGATATGTTTTTGACAAACTTTACATTTTCATATGTAAATTTGAGCTGGCACACTGAACTTCTCTGAGACTAAATAAATCGAGCATAACATTCAGCCACTAAAATGTTTTTCTGTTCAGAAATACAAGCAAATAACTGTAAAAATACATTTTTCTGCTTTTTTGTAAAACAGTACATACAAAACATAAAAATTTACTTTGGTAATTACCAATTTACTACTGTTACTGTAGCGCAGATGAGGCATAAACCTCACACAGGATGGTGATCTAATACTCTGCATATTTTAGTTGCATTTTACTCAAAATGATTGTCTCATGTTTATTAAGGGTGAAGAAACATATTTTGAGTGTAACAGGGACATTTGAGGCCCCACCCAACTGCTCTTTTCTGTTTTGAGAGGGGCAACCAATCAGCCAATCAGTTCCTCCAAATTTTCATTTCAGACACAGGATGAACTGAGGGGCAGCACTAAGGCCCAGTGTAAGACAAATAGGGATTGATTTTAATTATGAGTCATGCAAAGCTACTCTAGTAGAATCTAATAATAAGAATATCAACTTTATTAACAGGAACCTTTAAAGACCTCAAATGTAGGAATATTGGACACGACTTAATTAATTGAATTATCTATAACATATCCTACTTAAATCAAAAAAATATTTATTATATTAATCAATTATTAGTTTATTATAATATATTTAAGCATTAACACTAACGTTGATCTTTTTTTGTGTGTGTGTTTGTTTGCTTTTTGTGTTGCTTCATGGGTGGACATGCAAATCAATTTCCCATTGGGGACAATAAAGTTACCGTTGAACCTTTATCAACAGACAAAGCAACAACTGTAGAGATAAAGGTTATTATCAATTTGACTTAGTTGTCATTTCTTTAAATTTAGGCAATAAAATAAAGGCAATATAATACATGCTGCATATAAAATATATTAATTCAACTTAGTTTCACTACACCAACCCACCAAGGAAGTAGAGCTTGTCTTTTAATGGGAAGGTTGGTTCACTTCCCAGTTCTTCCAGTAAGCATACTGATGTGCTTTTGAGCAAGATAACAAACTCCCAACCTGCCCAAGCATCTTTCAGAATAAAAGGCTTGGAATAAAAACGCTCTGAGTAAAAAAGTGCTACATACAGTTAGATCCACAGGTTTGTGGATAATGACACAATAATAATTTTGCCTCTGTACATCAACACAGTGGAATTAAAAGCTGAAAGTCTGCAACAAATTCATCTTGGATTTTTGAGTTCAAGTTCAAACAAAATAACTGGATTCAGTAGTTTGGAATTATGGCCATTTTTATACATAATCCCTCCAAAAACGTATGAACCTAACGGCAAGCAGCCACGTCACCAGGAAAATGAAGTCCGGGTAAAAGCTGGCTAGTAAATGAAAACTTGTGTTGTTGCACCGGCCCAATAAATGCAGACGTTTTAAGTTTAGCAGCAATTTCCACAACAGTTGACAACAGACAAAATAACTAATGTGTAGCTCGTTCCTAATGGTTTCTGGTTTAATGCACTTTTACATAACAATATGCAGAATTTGTTCCAGGAATAGCAACCCCATTATCTGAGAAGCAAAAGCAGAAGTGCTAGAGGATGTAGCATTTATCACATATACAAACAGTGTGAAGAATGGCAATCCAAAGGAAAACAGGAGAAAAGTGGTAAAGGGGAAAAGGTGCTATTAACAGCTGGTTGGTGACAAGAAGAAATCTACAGTGATGATAATGTTTCAATTATATCAAAGTAAAACCTGCACACATATGGACAGTTTACAGTATACAAAGAGCTGCTTTCTTCTGAGCATCTTATGTTTTTCTGCTGCACTGCTCACAGCTTACAGTCAGTGACTCATGTCGGTGTGGCTTTGCTGTCTGCCCACAGATGCCTATCCTAAAACGGAGATGATCTATACTTGGACCAAAGGGCCTGAGCATTCAGTGGAGGTCCCTCCAGAGTCCTCCAGCCTCGTTCAGTATGATCTCATTGGCCAGACGGTCTCCAGTGAAACGATTAAATCCATCACAGGTGAGATTTGCTCATCCTTTCACCGTCCTGCTTTATCAACCGAGTTACAGTGAACGCTCGAGGAATAATGGGACACTGCTGTTCATTTATCACTTTTACAAAAGAGTCTGCTTTTTTTATGAAAGAAAAGATCCACATCTGTCTGAGCGCATTATATTGAATCATACTTGGAAGATTTGCCAAGTCTACACTGTGTTTCCACAAGACAGATTTGGGCGTCGCATATTGGGGGGATATAGAGTTTTGACACTTGCACAGACATGACAGTGGGTCTACTGGACCATGGCTAGCACACAGTCTTGTGAAATGAAACCCTCAAACATCATGCGTTGAGACATTTCAGAGCCAGTTGGCTCGCAAAAATACTGAAAGCCCCACACACCACACCAAAAAAAAAAAAAAGATTTTAGCAGCAGAAAGCTACAACAGAGTGCAAATGGACACAATGTAGAAGTGAGGGGAGAAAACCAGATCAAATGTGACATCTGTCTGGAGCTGCATTAATGAAATCTGTCAGCCTGCAACTTCAAATTCTTTGTTAATGAAACTAATTCATTTCTGTTGATCCCCCAGGTGAATATGTGGTCATGACGGTCTACTTCCACTTGAAACGTAAAATGGGCTACTTCATGATTCAGACGTATATCCCCTGCATAATGACAGTAATCCTCTCCCAAGTGTCCTTCTGGATAAATAAAGAATCAGTCCCAGCGCGCACAGTTTTCGGTATGTAGACTTCACACAGCATTCATGCTGCACTGCCTTTCTGCTCCTCTCTCTCTGTTTATTTGGTGCCTGCATGCCAATGGAGCAATCAGAGCTGGAGTATCTATTCAGTCAACACAACAAGGCGATGCTTCAGCACGCGGTGATTACGGGAAACAAAAAGTTTCCCATTCTATTTTATTTTCACCTCGTACAGTAATTCTCTAAAATATGTTTGGCTCAAAAAGCATTTACAAGCAGTAATACTGCACGTGTGGTTGAAATAAACATTTTTAATCAGATGGGGAAAGATGTCCTCCTTATTGTAGTTGCTAATGACAAGCGTTTCCTGAGTAAATTATTCTTTTTTAAAAATGCCTAAACCACTGGCTCAGTTCAGGAATGCCAAGCCCAGTGTTTTTCCATCACTTCCCATTCGCTCTTGTAATGCTTCTGTCATGGATTTGCTGTGTGGAAGGAAGGATGTAGGACCCAAACGCAGGACTCAGAAACGAAAGCGTGAACTAAAAGAGGTAGCTTTATTTTGGCCATAAATAACTTACTTCAAATACAAACCTAAACTGGAAACAAACCAGGACCAGTAACTAGGAAATGGCTGAAAACACAGAGGAAAACACACCAGGAAGTAACGAGGGAATGGAAAACAGGAAGAAAGCACAGCTGGGGCTAATCTGAGGCCCTTTCTCAATTCTCAAGTACGCGAGTACGTACTCGCGTTCTCGGCAAGTACGGACTCGCCGAGAACGCGAGTACGGACTCGCGATTTGTACAATTGGAACACCCTCGTACTTGATGATGTCACACACAGGTCCGGAGTTTTTACTGCCGTCCCCTCTTAATTTAACTGTGAGTAATATGTTATGAAGCTTAACTTTAATCACAGCCAAACCGGTTTACTCAGGAACAAATAAAACACTGAAATAAACCAAACATTAACATTTAGAAGTGATCTAAGTGACTTATATATCATGTTTAACCTCAGTAGTGAAATCTCTATTAATAAAAATAGTGTACATGCACATACGTGTACATACCTTAATAAAAACAAGCAGGTGAGATGTTAGAACGCCTTTATTTTTATTGTAGTGGACACTCAATACAATAGACAGCTACTGGGGTTTGGGGTTTGTTTAACCTGAGTAGCGAAAAGACCGCGGGGGGTGGGGGGTGTTGAAAACGAGACTGGCAATGATAAATCATGATGAAATCAACAACAAAACAAAAAACCCTGGGTCACCGATCCCGGACCAGGACAGCTACAGTCACACTAAGTCACAAAATTACTGCACCAGTATGGAACAAACTCATGATGTTTTTGCCTTTGAAATGGTTTATTTAAAGACCAGGTCCACAATTTGGTGCATCAAGATGGTGATAATTAGGTGGTGTCAGTGTGCTATCAGTTTGAATGGAGTCAAGTTGGCAGCTACGTGCAGTCTGTTTGTGACGATACAGCAATTAACGTTCACAAATTAGCCCAAATAACAAATCTGTTGCTTTCTGCATCGACTGAAATTCACATTGACTAAGAAGCTCATAGATCTGAAACAGAAAGTCCTCCACAAATAGTGACGTAGTTGCTGCAAAATGCAGATTTAACTGCAGAATTACACACAGCAACCTTGCTTTTATATAGGAACATAACCAAAATACAACCAGCTGAGTTGATGGACTGATGGACACAGACCGACTCAGACTGACTGAAAAAGTTGTCAATCTGCATTTATGCGCTGGACAGAAATTATTTGCAAATGTTTGAGTCCAAAGGGGACTTTAATTTTGTGGAGACAGGTTGCCTTCCAACAACTACCCGTGCAATCACATTGTGACCAAAAGTGGTCTTCCACAGATTGAGAGAACTACTTGCAAAAAATGCCATGCAGTCACCGGGTAACCATGAATTTTTCCTAGATGCCGTCCAGTTTTGTCTTTAGTGTGACTAAGTCCTTTACACTCTGTGGGATTTCCAATGAGCTTTTCTTGTCTTAAGCTCTCTTTTTCAGTGCTGTGAGCTTTAATCTGATTTCCTATTGTGAGTCATGGGTCGGCCATTTGTTTGTTTGTTTGTATTTGTTCTGTGTTGTCTAAGAAAATATGTGTTGTCTAAGGTCATATGGCTTGTTGATGAATTTCACAGTCAGCGCTAAGACTACCGGCCCTGTTAGCGGTCACGTTAAAAACCTCCCCTGTCAAACTCGACATGATCAACAAACTTCTGTTATCTTTTCATTTGTTCTGTAACTTAATTTATAGCTAATTTTGTTTGCTTACAGTCAGCAAAATAAGAAACTCCTTCTGAATTCATAATTTAAACGGTTTGTAAAGAAGTGAACAGTCTATTATTTAAATTTGATTTAAAAAAATAAAAATAAAATAAAGTGCAGCCTTACCTAATGTCCACCCGACTGTTACTCATTTTATATTAAGATTTAAAAATCTAGTCGGTATTGGTATGAAGAGTAACCTTCAATAATGGTAATAAATCACACAGCAATAGTACATTCATGTAGTTGTAAAAAGCATGATAATATATTAAGTAATCCAAAGTATTCAGAATACGTTACTCTCATTGAGTAACTTACCTGTATACTTTACAAAATACATTTTGGGGCATGTAATCTGTAATCTGTAGTGGAATACATTTGAAAAGTAACCATCCCAACAGTGAACATGACACATAAACCAGGGGACATGGATAACTAACTAAGACAAACTAATAATAATACTAGGACTTAGTGTTATCTCCTAAATAATACAAAACACCTAAACTTCAACCCTTAACTTGACAATAGCACATGATATTAACATAAGAAATCAACAATTCAAACATAACACAAAATACCCCTGACAAAAATAAAATTACTCCTCCTCAGTCTCCTAAATTCAGTGCATCCCTTAGAAGGAAAATAAGAAACATAAATAAATAAGAATTGTACCAAAACGTAACACAAAATGAAACTGACAGGGGAGTGCTTTCAGTTTTGCAGTGTTCTGCATTTCTGTTAATTAAAACGTCTTTGCAGGCGACACTGCATTTCTTCAATTGGCCTAAGTACATCTAAAAGCAAACAAATAAAATAAAGGCCTTACTAAATTCATTGTTGATGTAAATAAAACTCAAAGTAAAGTACCTGACCTATCTACCCCTGCTTTGTGTACTGCACATGTTTTGTCACTTAGTTGGGGAGGGAATAACATCTTTTTCCAGTATGTTGACCATTTTTCTGAAGCCTTCTAGGGTCCAGCTCTTTGCCTTCTTTTGTGGCAGACATTTGAATTTTGTTGCATAATCTGTCTTTGAATACAGTGGTACTCCTCCAGACAGAAAACAAGCAGTGCAGTGCAGGGAACAGCTGTGATTGGCACATGCAGACTTGTGGTGAGGCGCTGATGTAGGGAGCACTCGATTTACTTTTGCTTTCCATTTTCAGTATCGCTCAGTAACTGTGGGAAGCCAAAATCGTGATTGAGATTAAACTCTGAATAATTGTGCAGTCCTAATCCTTAAATACTTGCCAATGAAACTTTCGTTCGATAATATACTTGATCCAAATTCTTGCTGGTCAAAAGGGGATTAAATACGTTTCTCCCTCACTAAAACTTGGATGGGTTGAGAACGACTCGGTGTCCCCCCCAGATGAGTTGGAAGAGGTGGCCATGGCGAGTCTGCTTTGACTGCTGCCCCCTCGACCTGAACTCAGATAAGCAGAAGAAAATGGATGGACAATCCCAGATCACGTTCTGCCTGTAGTACAGTCATTAAAATATTGCATTTTCACACCAGAGCTACTCTATCATTAAAGTGCTCTAAAGCAGGGGTGCCCAATCCCAGCCCTCGAGAGCTACCGTCCTGCAGCTTTTAGATGCATCCCTACTCCAACACAGCTGAATCAAAT